AATGCCACTTAATTATATTTGTTCTATCTATTTCTAAAGGGTGATTCACTGCAAGAAAAATAGGTTTTAACGGCGTTTTTTTAACGGCGTTTTTTTAAACGCCACTTTTTTTAATTTTGAATGGCGTTTTATAACTGCCACGTATTTGTTAACCAAAACGGCACCGTTTTACAATTGAAAACGCCTCCAAATGCGGTAGGCACACGCGCGTCCTCCGTCCTTCCTTATTTTGAATCTCAGCCCTTTCTTTCTCTCAACCCTTATACGCACACACATCTCTCTCTCTCTCTCAACCCTCTCTAAGCTCCATCGAAGCTCCATCTGCACCGGCGATTTCGAAGATTCAAAGCGATTTCGAAGCTCCATCGCCAGCACGATCTGCACCGGCGAGGTAGCGAGCTCCACCGTCTCTCTCTCTCTCTCTTTAGTGAGAGATTCAGAGCTCCACCGTTTTATTCTGACTTGATCATTGTTTGCAGAGATTCAGAGGTTCAGTGATTTCAGAGTGATTTCTATTTCGAAGCTCCGTCGCCACCACCATCTGCACCGTCGATTTCGATTTCACTAAGGTGAGCTCCACTGTCTCTCTCTCTCTCTCTCTCTCTACCTACACTTTCTATCGCTAAAACTCTCTTTTCTCATCTTCCAGAAGCTCAGATCTGAACTCTGACCCCTCGATTACTCGCTTTTCAAGCTCCAATGGCGGTAGCACAATAGCCAAGCCTATATGTTCAATCTGCTACGAAGATCTCAATCCAATCATCGAAGCCCTTCAATCAATCTCCATTTGCGGCCATGTCTTCCACGAGCTCTGGTCAGTCACTTCTATACTCACATATTATAGTTATATTTTCACAGTTGTTCACTTCAATCGATTATTATTCGAGAACGATCTTCAATTTGATGTGTTTTTTTGACAAACCTAGCCTTCAACAATGTATCGAGTACTGTTCAAATGTGAAGAAAAAATGATGTCCTGTATGCAAGCAGGCCTTTTCGGAGGCCAATGTTAGTCGGCTTTATTTCCAATCAGTAGGCAACCTCTATCAGAAATTGATCAATTGCGAAGATAATCCAGGGGAGTTGCATAGGGAAATGGAGAAATTGGAAGGGAAGGTTTTAGGACTCAGATCGGCGATAGAGCGTCATCAGAAAGATGTCGAAGAACTCAATGAGGAGGTAATTTAATTTCATTGCTGTTCTTTTCAAATTGTTTTTTTCAGAGGCATACAGTTCTTTTCAAATTGTTGAGTGTGTTTTTTGTGTTTTACATGTTTACACAGGTTGATTGAAACCTTCTCATTTAGCTCCTTCCTTGTATAATAGGAACTTGATAGATCAACTTTGGAGTGCGTAAGGCTGCAGGAAAGGAATATGGTATTGGCCAAAGAGCTTGCAACGTTGAAACTGTAAGTGCCTTCATACTAGTGACAGAACCATTTATGTTTCGAGTCTCCAAACGAACTTTGTTGATTATTATGGCTGTCTGATCGAAACACTTCGAGATCGAATGTTTAGGCCCTAACACATTCATTGAAACACTTCGAGATCGAATGTTTAGGCCCTAACACATTCATTGAAACACTTCGAGATCGAATGTTTAGGCCCTAACACATTCATTGAAACACTTCGAGATCGAATGTTTAGGCCCTAACACATTCATTGAAACACTTCGAGATCGAATGTTTAGGCCCTAACACATTCATTGAAACACTTCGAGATCGAATGTTTAGGCCCTTTTTGTCTACAATCATTCCTGAGAATTCAAGGTAGGTAATATCTTCTCTGTTTTTTAGTTCCTTACATAGATTTTATTTTGTATATTATGTGGCTATTTTTGATAAAATAAATTTCCCAACATAATAGAAGTTGGATTACCAAGCAGGCCTTTTCGGAGGCCAATGTTACTCTGGATTTGTGCATTATTAATGGATAATAGGCAGCGTCTGAAATTTTCAAATGTTGGTATTTATTCATTTATTATTAATGGATAATGGTATTTATTCATTTATTATTATTTTTTTGTTGGGTATTCTCGTAGCTCTGTGATGGACGATTGCTTGCAAATAACGGGTGAGTTGCTGAGATGAGAGATACTTTATTGAAAAAAGAGAGTTGGTGAGAGATAAGCATGTGATGGGAGCAACTGGTGTTGTATTACCAAACAGTGGTAGCAAAGTGTATAGATTGTGATTTTTTTTTTTGTCACATCTGGTTCCTTTGTTTTCTTTTGTTTTTACTTTGAAGGACATAATACGTATGGAGAGAATCAAAGTGTTTAGTTTCTTGTTGAGAGTGTCGCAGCTTGTCAACATATTGCCTTAAAATTTGAATCCTTGGCTCCTTACCATGTGCTCATATTGGTTGATACTTACTTTTATTTATCTAAAATGCCAGGATTTTTATTTTGTCATTAGCTACAGTCTTTGAAGTTGGCCATTCTTTAATTTTAAGTTTTGCATGCCATGTCTGAGTCATTAGCCTTTTTGTCGGAGTTGCATTATCTTTCTGTAGTTTTCTTCCTGTTGTAATTTGTATGTCCTGCTAGCTCACTATTGTTTTTTCAATTTGGATGTATATTGCCTCGTATGGATGGAATCTAACAGCTTTAACTAACTTGCAGTTCAAGAATTGCACAGCAAGGAGGTGAAATCGTCATCTGATTCATATTTGAAAGGTCTCATGATATTAAAGGTGATCTTGGGAACAGTTTGATGCTTAAAATACTTACAAGTTTCCCTGAACAAAGTGCTGAAGTGTTTAGTTGCATGGTTACCCAACAGGTTTTTACATATTTATGTGAGATTACTATTACTATCCCGTGGAGAATCTTATCAGCTAAATTCTGAGTGATCTGCCTCATTATGTTTTATCATGTGCGATCTTCAAATTTTCTAGTCTGATACTTATTGGAGCTTGTTTTAATTCTAAATTGCTATTGTTGTTCATTCACATTTGTGTTTTGTGTGAAGTGCAAAAGTCATGTTCTCGATATCCCTGTTGAAGCAGATTATTTACAGAAATTTCTATTATTTTTACCAAAAGTAGATAAAAATGGAGACACTACCTGAATAGCGTGGTTCTTAGCATCTATATAACCCTTAAAGCACAGGGTTGTAACACTGATATCTGTATGTTGTGAGAACAGCCTGAGAAAATGTTTATGGATTAAGATCATCATCTGCAAGGCTACAATGTGGATACTAAGAGAAGCAACTAGAAGCCTGGAATAGATGGTCTTCACATAGCAAAAGGACAAAAGAAATACCTAAAAAGAGTCGAAAGACAGAAAGGGGATATTTTTTGATGCAGCTCCTTTCCCTCATGAATAAATTTTAAAAACACTGAAAGAGATTATAGAACTTGATATAACCCTCTCACAAAATGAGATGAGTCTTACTTTTTTTGTGAGGTCTGACACCCATGTGAGATGAGTTTGGTTAGTATCTATAATTAGTAATAATTGACTAATCCATTTTACTTACCTCAGACCACCAGATCAGTCCTAGCTCAAATACTTGCATTTTTTTTAATATATTTTAAAACCAAAAATTCATATTTTCAATTTCTTTTCGTATCATTCTCTGCAACAACCAGAAGAGTGAATTAGAGGGTGAGAGAGAGGGAGTTGCATAGATTCCTTTTCAGTGAAATAGGGGCAACACACCCCATTGATGCAGGAAAACCCCTCACTGGTAGTCGACTTCTAAGGACCAGTAGAACAAGCACTACCAACATAGCTGATCTCCCATTCAAGTTCAGCACTTTTTGTCCATCCCCATTCCCACACCGTGACCGGTGGTTGGAAGCTCCCGACGCTGCGAATCACAACCCTCGGCCAATAGTTCTCAATGCTTTTGCCAAGAGGAACTAGAGACTGCAAAAGGCATACCCACAACCTCAGTCAGAACAAAATAAAGAAAATAAAATATGGCACATCAGTAAAGCACAAGATCTTATTAGTTCCACCATTATAACTAGCATTCCACATTGTTCCTATGTTTTAAATATAAATGTCAAAGTCGGAACCTGTCGAGCTTCAAGATTGAGACTGCCATCGCTCAAATGTATGGAAGACTTTCAATTCACAGGCCATCAGCCAAATCTGAAATGAAGTGTCACAACCCAGTGCAGGGAACACGTCCCATTCTCTATACCAGATTTCAAAAGCCAACTCTTTGTACTGGACATCAATTCTTCTAAAGTTTCAATATGCTCACTGACAAAGCGTATCAAAGACAAAGGTTTGTGTAAGCATAAAAACTCTAAACAAAAAAATTTATGAAAATTAACATGCCACACTATAAAGCTTCATTGACAGTTAAAGAATCTGAAAACATCACACCAAGATAGCAGTGACAGTACAACATACCTAATTGGACGGCTAGAAGGATTTTACTCCTTCTACCCTAGCTCAATGTAGTGTCATGGTGTACCGGTTCAACCATTCCAACTGCGCCCAATCTGCTCTATATATACATTTAAGAACAAAGTTAATACAAATTCAGTAAATAATCATAAATATGCTCAAGGATAAAATATGAAAAAAATGTTATTACCCGTTAAAAGAAATCAGTGCCACAATTTAAATAAAAAAGTTTAAGACGGGGAAGAAACTCAAAATTTTAGTTATGCAAGCGAAAACAAAATTTTAAATAATTGATGCCAATATATGCTCTGTTAATAGAATAATCAGCTTCTCAATGAAAATAAAATTTTATATACCAATCTTTTGAAGGAAGGAAACTGACAAACAACTAGACAAGATATGTTACTAGAAGTTAATCACATGACCACAAATTCATTTTTTCTTTAAGTTTGTTGAATCACACGTGCTAATCAACAGCAATACTTTAACTTCTGGTGGTCATATCTTCAATAAAATGGATTAAGTTGACAGGAACAATTAGATAAGTAATTCAAGCTGTCTTGATTCAGGTTAATATGCAAAGTACACCTTCAGCACTGAGGTACTGAGGACATTGACTTTATAACCATAGTAATCAAGATTAATTTTTGTTAATT